CAAAATTATTACCAAATTAAATAGAATTTTGTCCGAAAAATTGTCCTTCGATACCAAATAAATTAATTCTAGTTTCTGTGAGAGATCTACACTTGAATAAAATGATATGCAGTAATTTACTGCTTGGTAATATAGCTTCAGTAGGTTTATAATGCATGTATTCGAGGCTTATTTTGATTGTTTTCTAGAAGAATAGGAGTTAAATTTCATATTTCTTTATGATTTGCCTGCCGATTTTCATTTTACAGTATTTTTGTGTTTTATAATCCACCATGCAAACTCTTATTTGAACCGCCAACCCAATTGAAACAACCCCAAAATCCTATTAGGCTAATGTACCAATATTTCTCTTTGCTACAGTATATGCATTATATGATGTACACATTCACATTTGTGGCAGCACTGAAGCACTCGCAGCAGTAACTTATTGTATTCATGCATATTAGGAAATCACTTCATTTAATAGGAAATACATACACTTTTGATTCCATGCTGTATAGTGTAAAGTGTAAACCATAACGTCAAGCATGTATAGTTGAATGATATGCGTAAGGAATATCTGTGCAGAAAGTATATATAAAAGTGGGAAGTTGAGTTTTTAATTATGGAGAAAGAATTCGTTTTTGATGTCTGAGGGACACGCAGCAAGGTGTTCCTCTCCTCGTCGATGAAAAACGAAGTCAAGATTATAGATTTTGTCTCCAGCTTCATTCATTGTGTGGAAATTAGCTATAATGCATTCTGACAGTGTGAATTCACTCAAGAAACCTGCCTGCGTCTGCCTTCAACATTTTTGAGCATTATATTGTCCGTTGACCGACGGGGCAAACGCACATAGGGTACTTTTACTAATGATTTGCTGTTTTTTTTCGTCGTTCTACAATTCGGAAAATAACCTGGACACAACAAAATCGGCATGTTGATTAAATCACAAAAAAAGCGTGCTATTTTCGGAAGCACTTTTAAAATTCAATTGGAACTTTTTGGAAGACACATAATCCTCAACTTCGAGCGACATCTGAGTGATTTGGAACCATACGTCGTTACAAAAGCAGCGTCTTCGACCACTGAGTGTTGACCTCTGCAGTCGCGAGACTCGTGACTCTTGACCGCGTTGTGTTGTAATTGTGTTAATCATTGTTATTATGCTAAATTAGGGGGGGGGGGGGGCAGCTAACAACCCTGGCCATGAGCATTAAAAATATTCAGTAGTGCCAGAATATAACTACACAGTACACCAAAGCTGACCTGACTCATGGCAGATATATAGGAAGCTCACTACAGTATAATTCTTTCAAATCTGTAAGATACACCTGCTAGGTACAGTACTTTGATAGTTCATAACCTTGCTGGGTGCATCTGCTTGCAAATTACGACAAAATTTTATCAGATCAGAAGAATATCCAAGTCCTTCTTTGGCGCACTGCTGTAATTTCGGGAAGAATTTACGAGACAGTTTTTGTTAATATCAATATACGCGGCATTGCTGCTTTAGCAACAATTATTTTTATGCTCGTCCTTCGGAATATGCATTCAAGTTTTTTCTTAAATAATTTTATTCTTCATCGATCTGAATACAGGATCAGATCATACTCACCATTATATGAATCATTGGGATTTATGGCAAGGATTCCCTTTCTCAATTTCGATTGGAATCTTTTTCAACAGAACGGGCCGGGTTAAATTTAATTTAATTTTGTCCATCTTCTTCATCATCTAATTCGTTTTGATTACTCGAATCCTCGACACTTGATTCCCCATTTCGTTAAAGATTTCGAAAAAGACTATATACTGTACAAGCTATATTGTTTAATGGAATGAGTCAATTAAATAACACTCATCACTGATCACTATTTGAATACAGGACTCAAATTTACGGAATGGATAAAATTCATCTCTTACAGTATAATAAAAATGAGAATGTTCCGAAGTAGGAATTCAATTTCGTCGGCATATATTTTTTGTCTGTATTTAATTGGCTGGCATGCCTCGACATGTTTTATCCTTCCAGAAATCCTGAATTTTAAACTCAGACATCCTTGAAATTTTTATCCGCAATAAACTAAAGTTTTTTGTTTTTTACTCGCTTTCATATGGGATCTGATCTGGAGAAATAATTCCTTGAAAATTGGTGGGTATTGTTCTAAGCAAAAAATCAGAAGTATCGGACAATCTAATTCTAGAACTTCTTTACAACTTAGAATAGCTAGCATGTTATTTTTCAAAAACATATCCAAAACATTTCAAACTTACAGGGTAAAAAAGGCCAAACTAGAAATGCCCAAATCCTGGAATTCTTTCGAACTATTTTGACACGCATTTCATTGGGAAGCAGAAATTTTTATTTGAATGCTGCCAGCTCGAGCTAATATTTGCAATTTATTCAATTCCATTCAACGCATCTCGAAATTAGCAATGGAATTTTTACATGGGAATGAATGGGGACCAGTTTAAAATTGCATCTGAGACAACAGCACAAATGAAAATTGCATGGGAGGGGAATTTTAGATTAAATTTCAAAATCCATATTAGAGAAATAAAATTAACAGAATTATTACAGACTTCAAAAACCCCTGATCTGAATTTTTCAAGTTCATATTTCTTGCTTGTAGTGACTAGTGATCAATTTCTAAGCTGTAATTATGAACCTTCAAGAGATTTTGTATTCCTTCATCTTTGTGATATGAGGTCTTGACATTTTTTCAGTCATTTTTCTTTTCTTGTCATTACTATTAAGGCTAACTTTCAGACAATTGAAAAAATAAGTTCTAACATTTTGTTCATTAAAGAAGGAAAACCTGAAAAATGAAAGTGAATGCAAATGAATTCTAAGCTATCTTCCTGGCACAAATTGAGAGCTATTCTTTTTCACTCACACATCCATTTAATTTGTGCAGAAGCCCTCTTAATTCTGGTTTAAAATTTTTGAGTGCATAAGTTTAATAGCTATCCTATAAAATTACAATTTTGGAGGGGCCAATGGATTATAGGGAAGAGATTGCTCATGATTTCATTTTAAATTACTGTATGATTAACTGAGCTGACTTAAACTTCATGCAAACAAGAAACTTAACAATCATTCAAAGATGCCTCAAATGAACAACTTAAGAAATATTTTCTTAAAAAAATTTCATTGAATGCAGCTTTCCAAACACTGCAGTAACAAAGTCCATAAGGCATATTTTTCATTCCCTTTGAAATTTATATTTAAAATTTGTGCCTCACAAATCATAATAGGTGCTATCAAGCAGATAGAAATCACTTATGTTTTGAAAAAGGCCATTGTCATAGAACTGTCTTTACAGGCAGGTGTCATGTCAGAAAAATCGAATTTTTAAATCTATTGATGCAAACATGAGATTTACACTTGTTTTGAGCTTTTGTGTTCACATGGACTGTGATTCTCAGTAAAATCTCCATGAAATCTTCAAGCAAAGGTAACAATTTTAATTATTTTTCCCATTTTGAATGCCTGGACAAGGAATTTTTGCGGCATTTTATAAGTGAGTTGGCACAAAATTGGGGTTTCCCATAAGACCATAATGGAGGGAGATTTTTTTTGTAGATTTGTTCCACAAAAATATGTGCTGTGAGGGTGGCACTAAATGGGGGGGGGGGGGGGGGGCAAAAAAAAAAGGTGGGGGGGGGGGGGGGGGGGGGGGGGGCACTAAATCAAGGGTTGACTGATAAATTCATTGAAATTAGCAATCAAGTTTGTTACATTGGCTGAAATTTTGGAAAGACAAAATGTCAGTTGAAATTATTTTATAGAAATAAAAATTGGGTTTTCGTCTAATAAAACTTGAAACAGATTTTCACCGGATGAAATAATTTAATGTATATTAATTTTTCATTGATAACCTTTCCTCAAGCCCATCTTTTTATTATCTGAGGATATTCCACCATAGCTGATTCATTGGCTCTTATTTTAATATATGCAAAACAACAGCAACTTTAATATATTTTATCTGCTTTAAAGTGAAGAAAACAAAGTCGTTTTGCAAAATTTTCTGAAACTTTCCTGGCCCTAAGAATTCTTTTGTGGAAAACTTGCCAGTCTGTGAAAAAGTTTAGGGAAATTTGCTGGTCTGTGGGCCCAAATAGGTTGGTGAGTATGGGGACTACTGCTATTTTGTACATTGTTTACCCACAATGAATGTACTGTGCCAGTTATATGTAGAGGCTAATGGGTTCAGAGTGACACCTACATCCTTTATGAAAAACACGGAAGGTAATGCTTCCGGATAGGCCGTAGCTGAACACGCGCTGCACATGTGCCCGAAGTCGTCATTGCAACCCAGTTCTGACTTGGCCTGGCCAGGGATTTTGCGAATTTACGGTGTTAATTCGCGAGTGATTAAAATGGTATGAGTCGTTACGATTGATGATAGTCCGGAAGTGTCGCTGTGTGAAGAGCGTTTAGTATTGCGACGGTTAAAGAAATTCTCTGGATACCATTTAAAGTGAGATCTACGGATGTTAATCCGGAAGTACGTTCCGGTGTTCATTGATGATCCTCTTCCTCACCGTAATTGACATTGTTGAATGCCAAGAAACGTTACATTTAAATTAGGGAATATGATGTATGCCCTGTCTTAGAGTTGTTTATTCGATCCAGTTGCGCGTGATATGGAGGCAACGTTGCATTAATTGTGCAGATATTAGTTTGATGGTGCAATGTACCGCAGGAAGTCCTGTTGTCCTGTTGAAATGTATTTTATGGTGATGCTTGACAATGATCCCGACGGGCAAGTTTTTATCTCGAGTCTTCGGGTTTCGTTCATGTGTTCTTCTGCAGTATTTTCGTAGCCATAGGGATATCAGACATCGCCTCTCCTTTGATTCCTGCCCTCTGTCGTAAGCATTGACATCGATTTCACGGTTACATCTTCGAGTCGGCTCTTCTCTTGTTGTGTTGAAGGTTGGCACGACATGTCTGCGGAATTGCATACGATCAGATGATATTTTCAGTGACTCCTAAAATTAATTTGAACCATATTTATTCCTTCAGAGCGCATTCATTTTTTTTTGAGCAGTTGTGAAGGAGGATGTGAGAATTTTCTAACCTCCGTTCTGCCTCCTTTCGATGATTTGTGACAGATATTTTCCGTGAGTCTTTCAGCATCTGTTGATGCTCAAGTATCGGGCTAAATTAGTGGATGAGGAACAAAACTAACCTTCTGCCGAGAGGGCAGTCGTTGACGCCATCGTGAGGCCATGGGAGCTCAGCAGGCAAAAGAGCAGGGTTCTGCTTCGACGAATGCCTATCAGCATTCTCTTACCGGATTGAAAAGTCTGAAAAGTAAAGGTCGCAGTGCTTCGCGCAATGCGAGATTTGGATCTTCTACCATCTCTGGAACAAATGTCTTCGCAGAACATAACGGTGGGTTTCCTTATTTTCCTGTTTACTGGATTTCGTCCGTCTGGATGACCTTAGTAACCTTTAGCTCCACAGAAATAGAGGTCTAAACAGTGTCTTTTCATTTTTTGTTGAAATCCACATAAATTATTAGCAATGCTGAAGAATCTATTGAGCTTCTTGGTCCACAAATTTGTTCTCCACCTTGATTCGTCTGTTGATTGTGTTGCATGTAACAAAGATCGTGCAAAAAAACTGTTGCTCAAACGTGCTTCTGGAAAATCTTCTAGGTGCAGGCGTTGTTCTTGGGTTACGCTGCATTGTCTTGTGTTGATGAACATCGTGTATCTGTCAAAAAACCGCGAGGGACGATTGATTTCAATTTTTTGTTTATGTTTACAGAGGCATTGGTCACTGGCTCACGTATGCTTGACTTCGTCAGCTGCAATGGGGATCCGATGGGTGGTGGAGCTCAATCAGACTTGCCACCGGGAACTTTGTTTCAATGGACTTCGCAAGAGAACCTGTTACATAATGCTGCCGTAGGTGGTGGAGGCGGCGATCTGTGCATGGCCAGCGGCACCCTGTCATCTTCTTCTGGCCCTCTTCCTGGCACCGCAGAACTCTTTGTGGCATTGTACGAGTTCGTGGCTGGGGGAGAAAATCAGCTCAGTCTCAGAAAAGGTCAGCAAGTTCGCGTTTTGTCGTGGAACAAGAGCGGGGAGTGGTGTGAGGCACATTCCCTAAGCGGTGAAGTTGGCTGGGTTCCCTCGAATTACATCACTCCTGTCGATTCGCTGGAAAAGCATTCTTGGTATCATGGACCGATTTCTCGCAACACTGCGGAATATCTCTTGAGTTCGGGGATAAATGGCTCTTTCCTGGTTCGAGAGTCTGAATCGAGCCCCGGACATAGGTCCATTTCCTTACGTTATGAGGGCCGCGTCTATCACTATCGCATAAATGAGGATGAGAATGGCAAGGTAAGATACAAGTTCGTGTCTTATTGGTTATTCGTGCGTCATTTCTTGTTGCTGGAAGAAAAACTCCTGAACCTCAGGTTGACCTCAGCGATTCAATCTTAAGCTAATTCGAGTGTTATTCACGTTCACTTTTTTGGCGAGGAAGTGATGCATTTCATATATCTGTGTCCTCTAGCTTTATGTTACCCCTGAAAGTCGATTCAACACTCTGGCCGAGTTGGTGCATCATCACTCGCAAGTTGCTGATGGCCTCATCACAATGCTGCTTTATCCAGCTCCTAAAAGAAACAAGCCCACTGTTTATCCCCTCAGTCCTGGTGAGTTATATAATTTTGTGTTCTTGAGCTGTAGTATGGTATGCGCGTTAGTAGTTTGGAGAAAAACAGTTTTTTCACGCGTTGTGTCTCCATTTCATGCTCCGGACCTATAGCGGCTAGACGAGAAAGCTTAGGTGAAGCGAAATTTTGTTGCATTTTAAATTTTTTACACGGGTTGACACACGTGCATTCTGATTTTTTTCTCTTCAGAGCCCGATGAATGGGAAATCGATCGGACTGACATTATCATGAATCAAAAACTTGGCGGTGGACAATACGGTGATGTCTACAAAGCTTTATGGAAGAGATATGGCATGACAGTGGCCGTGAAAACATTGAAGGTGCGTTGGTTTTACCAGTTCCCTGTGATGACGAATTTTTTCCTGGCGCAGTTAGAGCATTCAAACTTCAAGAGATCAGCTAAAAAGCACCATTCGAGTCACGGAGTTTTTGTGTAGGGGAGACCGGCGTTTTTGTTGAGGAAAAGACGGAAGAATTTTAAGAAATCCTAATCTTATTTTCGGTCTTGAATTGGTTTTTGATTTGGCGGGAGGTTGAACGTTGAGGAAAGGGTTCATTTGCCTTATTCTTTCATTCACCGTACTTTCGAAGCACATAAATGTATAGTTTTATTAACTTGTTCTTTTCTGTACCTGTAAAATAATAGCCGAAAGGCCTTGGAAGCCCGACTTGTTGAGGTTTGATGTGCTGAGCTGTTGAGTTAGGACGGTGTTAAATGCATTGTTTCTGACAGGATTCAGAGAGGGATTTGTAAAAAATTCGACCTCGGGAGGTTTGCGTTATTCAGGTTCAACTGTATTTCATCGATTTTTTGTTGTCTCTTGAATGAAATGACTTATAGGAGGATACAATGGCGTTGGAGGACTTTCTTGAAGAGGCGAGATTAATGAAAAATTTGCGACACCCGAATCTCGTGCAGCTGTTGGGCGTGTGTACCCGTGAGCCGCCGTTTTACATTCTAACCGAGTTTATGTCGAAGGGTAATCTGTTGGATTACCTGCGAGCATCAGCGCCGAACAGTAATATTCTGCACGGTCACCATCACCATTCCCGCGTGCCAGAGGCAGGTTCCTCAAGTTTGACTAGTTTGTCAAATGTCAATTGTCCGGAGTACCTGTCCGCGGTCGTGCTTCTGTACTTTGCTACGCAGATAGCTTCTGCTATGAGCTATTTGGAAAGTCGAAGCTTCATTCACAGGCAAGTTTTGAGTTCAGCCAAGGCACCTTCATTGTTTTTGTGGGTGTACAATTGTATATATTTTTCACGTGTTACCTTATTTGTAGGGATCTTGCGGCGAGAAATTGTTTGGTTGGTGAGCACCACCTAGTTAAGGTTGCAGATTTTGGTCTTGCAAGGCTGATGCGTGGGGGTGATGATACTTATACTGCCCATGCTGGGGCAAAGTTCCCGATTAAGTGGACTGCGCCGGAGGGGCTAGCGTACAATACATTTTCGACCAAGTCAGATGTGTGGTCATTTGGTGTTGTGCTTTGGGAGATTGCGACGTATGGCATGTCACCGTATCCTGGGGTTGAACTAACCGAAGTTTATCACATGCTGGAAGGCGGATACAGGTGAGTAAACGACCTTCCATTTCGTTCGTTTCAGCGATTTTTTCTCACTATGCCGATCAATTCGGATTCTGTTTTTTACCTTTTGAGAAGTTGTGCAGTTAGTGCCGGCCTTGTCACCGGTAATATTATTACTGTACTTTCGTGCGTAGAATTTGGTTCATTACTGATGTAAAGTTCTTTCTTTCAAGATATAAAAACGTATTCCATCTGGGTTACGGGGCAAACTCGCACTGCAACAAGTGGCACAGCGGCAACTCGCCAAAGGCGACAACTGGAATGATTTTATTTTTTCTAAAAGTTTTTAAATATTACTTTTACCGACAGGTGAGTTAGTGAATCAGGCGAGACCAGGAACACGTTTTCTCGTCAATGTTTATTGCACTTACACAAGGAGATACCGGTGGTACTTCGCAATCCGTTGTCACACTAGGGTCGAAATGCGAAGCGGTCGAATTGCGAGACACTTCGTGAAATAAAAAAAATTTCACTGCGAAAACACGAAAAAATGGCCGAAGAATTGTGAGGCAAGGGTGGAATTGCGAGTCAACCTCCCTGCAAATTCGACCGTCGAATTTTGGGATGGTGGAATTGCAAGGTACCACCTGTACTTAGTTTTTCCTTGTATCTCGAAGTCATTGCTCATTGGGCTTCAGAGATTATTTGATTTTTTTGTCTAATCAACGAATTCGGAATCTTTTCACTTGATTTTTTGTTTTACTTTTGTGACTGAACATTTTATTTGCAGGTTTGTTATATTGAAGTTTTAAACAACGTAAAGTTGAACCCTCAATAACTCGAATTTTCTGAGGCCTTTTGGCCTCAGTTGCTATGATTTCCTCGATATAGGAAAAAAGAAAGCAATAAAAAGAGTAACTTGTGTTTTGAAATGAAGTGGAAGCCTAATTGGGCAAACGAACCCGTGCCTCCAAGTTCAACATTGTCAATTCAACTAAGAAGCAATTTATAGCCAAGAATATTGCCATTTACAATTTCCTTTAATATTTCCGGAACCAAAAATGCTCGTTTTCCTCGGTCAAAACCTCCCTGACTCGAATTTTGTGGCTGGTCCTTTGAAATTCGACTTGGAGGGGTTTTGAACGTATTTACAGTCCTCTTTTGAAATTGTCAAAATAATTTTGAATGTATGGGATCTACTATTCATAATTTGCTACACAAGTTAGGCATTAATTGAATAACAGTTCAGATTTATTATGAAATTCCTGAAGTACACAGATAACTTATCGAACTACTGTACCGGTAAATTCAAGAAGGGATGGGCATAATATTTGAATGATAGTTATGTCTTCCAAACAGCCTATTACCTGGTTGATTTTGCAATCAATGTAGAGGAGAAAATATGTTTCCTGCCTCATGTGTTCCACATGCCTGTCAGTTAGAGCAAGAAATCAAAAATTGAGGGGGAAAAAATCATTCCAGTTTTCACCTCTGGGGAGTTGCTGCTGCGCAAGTTGTGCAACATGCGAGTTGCCCGGGAATCTTCCTTCTGCTATTTAGAAGCATTTTGATGACCTTGTTTTTTTTCATGAAGGATGGAGTGTCCTCAAGGTTGCCCCGGAAAAGTCCATGAACTTATGAAAGCCTGCTGGCAATGGCAAGCTGCAGACAGGCCATCCTTTCAGGAGGTTCATCATGCTCTCAACACAATGTTCCGAGAAACATCCATTATCGATGGTTAGTTGTTGTTCTGTACACAGTTTCTTTTTGTTTCCTTGCACTGGAGTCAATTTCATCGTAATGACTCCTTTTGTCTTCTGCTTAGTTTTTGATCAGGGAGTGTTTGCTAGATATTAAATGTTCTGGTTGCTTGTTTTTCTTCGGTCAGATATTATAATTCGAGATTTCTTGTGTTGCAGAAGTCGAAAGGCAACTTCAGGTTGCACCGCCTTCGCCTCCACCGCCTGTGCCACAAGGCTCACCAACTCCGTCTCCGAAGCCGCAACTGAGTTCCTTCAAGGGGAAGCGTGGGGAGCGCCAGCAACTGCAACAGGCACAATCACTAATGATGGGGAATGCAGCTTTGTCATCCTTTCCCCAAATGCAGCTCAAATCGAATGCCGTACAATTACGCAAAACCAGCAATGGGGCTGCGTCTGGCAGCAATCAGCAACACCAGCGGTGTGACAAAGAGAAGATAACAGCTCAGAAACCTGCTCCTCCGAAACGCACCAGGTAAATGATAGCGAGAGTAACAATGCAGTGCGTTGTGTGTGTTGAAGTGGTGCAGGCGGAAATATCGTGTTCGAAGTTCGTCTATGGGTACAAACCTTTTTTTTTAGCCGTGCAGTGAAGTATCGATTTTGAAAAATCCAGGCAACCCTTCAGATTCAGTGCCGCCCCCTTATAGTGCCATAAAAAATGTCCTGTCCTGAATGAGAAATAGGCAAAAATCATAAAAAATTGATGCATGTATCTAGGGATATTGTTGGTGTTTCACTGAAAAGAACATGCTCATGCTCTGGATAATTTTGAAAATTCTATTTCTGAATTTTAAATGTAGTGTACATTAATCTGGTGGAATTATTTGGATGCCCTATGCAGCAAAGAGCATCTCAGTACCTTGGATAGTCTTTTTGAAAAAATTAAAAATCACTCCCATCTTATCTTGGAATTGTGTGCTTTCATTGAATGTTTGATGCTAAATTACAAGAAGTGCAATATTTCCACTCTTCTACTTGACCAATATGTGCAAAAATCGAATACATACTATTGTACAGTCGAATTACATGGGACCAGTACAATAATTCGACTTTGGGAGGTTTGCAGTTGGGGAAACAAGCATTTTTGTTGTGGGGAACATATAATAATTCGGGATATTGCAAATGGCATTTTTCTGGGCCTCAAATGGCTTCTTAAATGAGTTGACAGGATGGTGAACTTGGGGGCCGGGTTTCATGTGCCCAATTAGTCATTCACTTCCTTATAACTCACATCCAGTATTCATTGCTTTTCTCATTGCTGTGTGAAGAAAGGGATAGCCAAAAGGTCTTCAAAAATGTGTGATCCTGTGGTTTGAGAGGAAACGCCTTTTTGAGTAGAACAGGTTTTTCATGCATTGTTTCTAAAGGAATTCCGATGAGATTTTAAGAAAATTTGACTTAAGAAGGTTTAAATTATCAAGTTTCAACTGTATCATAGAAATTGAAATTTTGAAATGCAGTAAAAGCAGTTCATTCGAGCCTCTAATTATTTCCTGTGGCTTTCTCAATTTTCAGCTCGCGAATATGTCTTGTCACGCTCCATTTTGTGCTTTGCTTTTTTAAACTACCAGCAGTAGCTCGTTCCGTGACAGCAATCTGATGGATGGTGAGGATCCCGACACTGACGATGAGCGGATGGAATCTGGCTTCACAACCCCTCAGTTAGCGCAGCAATTGCAACACCAGTCTCTGCATCCGTCCTGGGATGACAAGAGTCACGATGGGGTCGTGCAAGCTTTGCGAACCAACAGTCAGCAAAGTTTGCCCTGTTCCAACGAGCCCGAGTCATTACCGCAGCATGCCGGGAATTCTCCCTCGATGTCTTCTTTTGGGCGTAGTTGCGGTGCTGCTGGTGTGAGCAGAGAGGCCTCTCGTAGTAGGGCGATGGCCGTGAAACCTACGGAGAAAGGGTCAGTTTTTGTTCACAATTCGGGATGGTGCAGTGTGTTACAACCCACTTTTTGGAAACGTAGAAAACTGATGATCTGACAATCATTTCTTGTGAGATTTTCGAATGTAATGACCGAAAGTAATTTTCATATTAGACCTGCACATAATCAATTAAATCTTGCTTTTCTGTCGTTCTCAGATTTTTATTATTGTTCGAAAAACTTAGTGATCCCCTGCAACGAATTAGGTGCAATCATACATTCCATCAATTGTACCAATCTCTTCATTCTGGAAGGATGATGTGCGGAACCATGTGGAAACATTTGCTATTGGTTACAGCTTCCATTCATGCTACAAGAACCAGTCAGTCACATTTGGAATTCGAAATTTCCGACTGTATCTGCCTGAAACAAGAAATTTCTGCCTGGATAATCTATTAAACATTTCTCAATCTGGAATCAGAAAGTTTGTTCGGAAGTTTGGTCGGACGCACGTAGGAAGGAAGTCCGGGCTACGTGTGTCATTATCAAATGTCTGTTGTAGATTCGAAAGACGAGTTAGTCAGCCGCACGACGAGAAAAGCGCTGTTGCGTTCACTTCGGCAAGTAACGGCCATCCAGCCATGAACAAAGCGAAGAAGGTGAAATCTTCATCGCCACCGCCTGGCGTTTTATCTGTGATTGGAGGGGGTGAGTTCGAGTTTGTTTTTTGTTTTGGCTAAATTTTTTTTTTTCAAGAAGAATTCGGTCGCTTTGTGTTTGAAAGAGATGCAGTATGAAAACTAAGTATGACCTTGTCAGGATGTCGGATCAGATTTTTTTACTGTCCTAAAGTCGAATCGTTCGTGTCTGCATGTCAAGGCTCAACTGATCGACAATTTTATGTTCGTTACCCTGTTCTTCTAGGCACCGGGATGAAGAAAAATGTGGCCATAACAGTAGCAGCCCTGGAGGTGCAAAACGTGCGCCGTGCCATCAACAGATACGGCACGCTACCCAAGAATGCCCGGATAGGTGCATATCTAGAATCCCTTCGACAAAGTGGTATCCATTCCACGAGTAGCGGCGGTGTCCCAGTCTACGACGGCATGGACGACGAATCAGACGCAACGCAGCTTTCTCCAGCATTCCAGGACGACACGAGGAGCGAACGGGACGCCAAGCAGACAGTGCATCATCGTCGTACTCAGCAGACGCCGCCTGAAGAAGAGACTGGCTCGCTGACTGAAGAGCGAATCCGAGCGCGGGATCTTCGCAATAAGCATTTGATGACACGCAGTAGCTCATCGTCGACAGGGTTTCCGAATGCACCTTGCTTAGTGCCTGGCAAACTGGGTGCTGGACGGGCATATCAGTCTTCGCGAGCCGTCCTGGGTGCCAGTAACAAGTTAGTTCACTTATCGTTGTGTTCGTCTTTCTCTTGTTTTCTTGCATCGAAAAACGGGTTAATTATTGCAACGATTTCTGTCGTGGCGCTGAACCTCCTTTTTTTGTACAGTCGAACTTGAAAACAAATTCGAGTTAGGGAGTCACGCATTTTTTTGCAGGGAAAAAGAAAGAATACATCCAGAAAATCGTAATTGGGGATATTCTGGACCGTAAATTGCTTCATGAATGAGTTGACAGGATGCTGAAGTTGAAGGCAAGGGTCAGTTGCACGATTAATCTTTCACTTACGTTCAAAATGCATAAAGTTACATTTTCATTGCTTTTCTCTTTCTTGCGCCAATAAAATAGTAGCCAAAAGTCCGCAAAGTCCGGAAGTTTCGATTTTTGGAGTTTTGAAGGAGGTACGTCTTCGAGTTGAGGTTTTTGATGCGTAATTTCGAAGGGAATTCAAACAAGGACTTCTAAAATATCGAGAGAGGGAGGTATGCGAGTTATCTAGGTTGAATTGTATGTCTCTTTATCCACCTGACTCGACAGACGTTTGATTTTGTTTTTAAACTTCGGCGTAATTTCTCACAGCTCCCAAGTATATCGGTTGGCCAGTCATAGCGGCAACAGTAAAGCAGTCAAGTCGCAGGATTCCCCTGGTCGGAAGGAGGCTGTGTTGGAGTTCCCACCTCCGCCGCCGCCGGATGACGACACACTTACTCAACTGCAAGCTGAAGCCAAGGAAAGACTGCTGAACACCAGTACTAACAAATCCAAGGCACCTCATCATCAGCAGCCACCGCAGCAGAGTGCATCTCGAGAACCATCGAGTGTCGGCGGCGTGTGTCCGCCATCAGAAAAACAGAATACGTCATCATCGTCGTCTTCGTTGCGGTTCGGTATCAATCTTCGACGAACTGAACCAGCGCCGCTTGTCCCATCTCCTGTAACTACGCCCGTAGTCGAGTCCGATAGACAGAGTTTGACATCGTGCGAAAGCTCCGCTGCTGTAAAAAGCTTCCCAGTTATTGTGCGCAACGGGGAATTGAGTGAATCGCAGGAAGACGGTGCTGGGAAGTGGAAACCTTCGCAGCCATTCAGTGCCAGTTCCGACTCCCTTAGCACAATGAATCAAAGTCCCGAAGAATTGGATTGTCCCCCGGAAAGGTTAACATCTACGACGAAGGATTCTCGAGCGAGAAATGAACCACCACCGTCCCAGACTTCGAGTGTTGCGCCGACAATGGATCCGAGACCCAATTTCGCTCACATTTCTCTTCGTAAAGTGGCGCCGCCGACGACGAAGCCGCCGCCTCCAGAGAAAAGCACGCTTTTGAGTGCTGGAAACAATGCTGGAAGTGGTGTTTATGCTTTACCTGGTGCTCCAGGGAGTGGAGCAACAGCAGCTGATGATGCGAGTCGCATGTATGAGAAGCCGCAGGTGTTGAAGCGGTTTAGTTTGCTAAAGCAGAAGAATGAAGCTGAAAAATCCGACGTTGTTGACAACAAACACGCGAATGCGACTGATAAAGGGGAAACTCAACGTGCGTTCAACGCACCGGGGGGTAAAACGAAAGAAGATGTTCTTGCTGCCGCGGTTGCCGAAGAAACCTTGAGGATGAAAGACCATCATTTGTCGGATGAAGTCAATGATGACGGCAAGCGAATCAGTACCAGCAGTATAACCAGCTTGAAGAAGATGTGGGAGCGAGACCGAGAACAGAAACAGCAACAGCTTTTGGCCAGTGTTCAGAAAGAACAAGGGAGTGTAGAGTGTTCTCCCCGTGTTGCTGCGGAGAAAAAGGTGCGTACATGTACCTCTAGGAACATTAATTTCACCCCCATGTATACCATGGATGTCACCTATGATAGCAGATAAGAGGACTGTTTTTTTTATTCATTGATTCAGCAGAATCTCGTTGCAACGAATCTCGATATAACGAATATTTGATTACAACGGATTCGTTTTTTTTAATTCCCTGTCTAATTGCCATAATGTTGAAACAGTTCTTTTGTAACGATATTTTCTTTACAATGAAGGTATTTAACGGGTCCCAACGGCTTCCTTGTGACGAGATTTTACTGCATACAAGCTCGATTGGCCACTTGTTAGCATTCACAAGGTTCAAAAAACGTTTCACACATCCATTCAAACACATCCTGGCATATCATACGGAAAAAATTCATTGTATTGCATGGGTATTAAAATAAAATGCGGTACCTCAAAGTACAATTCAATACATAAATAATGAGTTGCCATCTTTCTTTTCTTTTTTTAATGACAAAAATCACAGCACAAGGCCATTACTGTACAGAGCACGAATTGAAGCTCAAGGTGTTCAGTCTGTTTCTCAATGGGAAATGGAATCGTACCAAAGAAACAACTGATGTGTAGATGGCGCCGGGAGTCGTGGCTTCAACCCGGTTTTTTCGCGTTTTATTTCACGAAGATGGGAAGGCGAACGAAAATCAAGATGATATTCCCTTGAAAATACAATTCCCTGCATGCCGAGAGAAATTTTTCAATCCATCACGAAAGAATCAGAGGTTTTGTATTCGAGCAGAACAATCGTCGAGGGAACGTATCTGACCCCATTTACGTAAGCGTGTGAAAATTCCCCTCGGTAATTGTGTATCAGAATCCATTACAGTACTCTAATTGTCATGCCTGCGCTTTTAGCGTTGACTTGGCTACTATTTGTTGATCAGACTTGAAGAAGGTTGTTGCAAAATATTTTTCAAGATAATACAGTCAAACGCTCAAACCTCTATCAGTCGAATTTCCAGCGACCAGCGAAGTAAATCGAGTTATACATAAGAAACGAGAATTTTTGTTGGGGGAACAATTATCGGAACTAGTATTTGGTGATATGATGGGCCTTAAGTTGCTTCTTAAATAAGATAGAATGCTGAACTTCGAGGGAAGGGTTGATTTGCCCAATTAGTCTTCAACTTATTTTCAGAACGCATCTTTTCGTTTTCTCTTTTCTGTGTCAATAAAATAATAGCCAAAAGACATCCAGAAAATTGAAGTTATGAAGCTTTCAGTGGGAAAGCCTGTGAGATAATGAAGGTTTTCAATTCATTGTTTCAAGGAATTATGAAAAGCAATCAACGTTTCTGGTCCATTTTGTACTTGTATGTCAAGGATCCCCAGTTCGAATGATAAATTATAACGTTTTAAAATTTGGAAATTTAGAGAAGCATAATGAATATCACGCTTAAATTAATACAGTACTATTTCCTGAAGAGATTACCTTGCGAGACTCGGGTGTCATGACGATGATGAGAATTTCGTTTAAACTTATTTTGCTTTCGGTCAAATAACTTGCATTTTTGCTCTCCATCGAGATCGAAATGCGACACGATGAGAATTTGATTGTGTCAACACGGGGTTGGAAAGGATATTTTAATTCCTCCGCTGAAATAAATTTGGAGTGCTTGGACCTCGTGTTCAAAGAATGGTCCGAACGAGTTAAACTTTCGTATGAACCAATTCCGGAATGGTATTTCTGAAAAACTTCATGATCGGATTTCAGATGGTTTCGAGAAGAAGTTCGGATCCGAAGAAGTCGAGCGTATGTGATCCCGGAAGACCCGAGGTACCCGTGAAACCAACGAACAAACATAAATCTTCCCTGAGTGATGCAGCAGAAGCAACTAAAGAGTTGGCTCTGGAACGCTGCCGTTCAGCAGAAGCCACTCTGTCACAGGCGAAGGGTCAATGCGTTGCCGATGCGTTGACCCGAGTTACCGCTTCTGCTATGTCAGATAAGGTCAAGGTGCTTCGTGAGACTTGCGGTCAAGTGAGTGTGTTTTCCGGCGTTTTCATCCTGACTTGCTGCTACGAGAAATAAAGAAAAAACACATTCTTTTCTGTTGCCAATTCAGCTGGCTGACGCCGTGCCGCCACATTCTCGATTCCATTTCCGCGAGATGCTAACGGCGTTGGAACGACACGAAACGATGCTTGGTGAATGTGTGGATTCTGGTCGTGGACCCGCGGAAGCTCGTCGAGCAATCAATGATGCCCAGGGGACTCTCAAGGATCTGATGGCCGTGCTGAACAGATAGCTGTCGGCTTTGCGGAGAACCTTGTCTTCTGACGATGACGACGACGGCTGAGTCTCAATTCTGCTGGTTCTCTGCTGATGATGCTGGTGTCTTTGTGAGGATGCGTGACTAGGGATGAGACCCGACCCGTAATCTGTGCTTTTTCTGGAGCAGTTTCGACCAAAACAAAAACCAGAGCGAAGTCTCGTGCTGTTCTGTAGTGGTGGCTGAACTGAGAGTGTCTTCTTAGATGATATTGTCATGTTCATCCGTATGCTCTTGTGTCAAGTCATCGATTCAGTGAGACACTGAATATTCAAATGCTCCCCGCGTCGAAGCAGTCGCGTCAGCTACAGGAGTGCGTCTTTCTCGTGATGTTTCGCTGGAATTCGCTGTGTGACGAGTTAAGTCGGATCGAGCGTGTTTTCATATTCTTCTTCCATATTGCTTCTGTTGAATCGGAACGTCGGGAGAAGAGTCCAAATGAACGCGCTTAATTGAGTGCGAGGTTGGGAAATGATGGAGCGAGGGATCAGGTGGTGTGGCTCTGTTGCAAAGTCTGAAGAGCAAAGGTGTTTTTTGGGGGGGGCATGGATTTTTCAGCATCAGCGGGAAAAGAGTCAGCTTTCAAACCTTCCCGCGTTTGTGTAACATGTTGCCCCTTCGTGCGCCCCACTTGGCTTCGCTATTCTAGATGATCTTGATAATGTATTGTCATACTGGTGTCATTCGCTCTATTTCCGATCGTATCATCCACGCAAAACTAAACACTGACGATTATCAGTAGTAATTGTGAGATATTATTGAGTTACGTAGTTCATTCCGAGTAATTTGCGCTATTAAAATGTGCAGCGAACAAAGCGTTCAGGTCTCTTCTGTCGAACTAGGGCAAATTTGGATGTCTTTGGGTCGCTCCGAGGCTTCATTGAAGGAATTATAATGAACACTTTTCCTTTAGTTCAATTGTTTCGAGCGAAGGTTGATGAGATGCAATTCTAAAGAATACCTGCGCTGGAAATTTATGATTTGGTCCATATCCGGAAATGATTGACAAGTGCGAAATCTCGTTTGCTCATTCTGGGTCGTGCTTTTCTTCGTATGAGAGCAGGTTCATCTTGAACTGCGATACTAAATGCTCATTTTTTGACCTGCACTGTTCATCTCGAAACCCACGCAACTAGTGTAAATGAGGACATTGGTCAAGTTGTTGCTCAAGCCTGCTAGCTTGTTTTGCGGAAAATTGCCTGCGACGAAGTTGTCCATTAGTGATAAGTGTTCGTGGAAAAGTTAAGCGCGTGACAATTTATTGTAATGTGTTGAGTCGATCGAGAAGGACATCCGACTTTTTGAATGTCGAGTGGTGAACAAATCATGAGTTTTCCGTATGTTGTGACGTGAATTAATGAAAACCCTTTCAACCCCGAATTACTTTTCATGTCGCGTGGAAGTAGGCATCTGTTGGGCTCTCATAGAGTGCACTGTCCGCGAGCTCTGCGGAGGGTTGAGAACGATAATTTCTGTGATACATAAATTTTCGATTGATATTGTCGGCATAGTTAGTCACTGTCCTGTCGATTGCTCAGTTTTGTTTATTCGTCTCCCCTTTTTGCATGTGGCTCGGGCTCGTTTTATTTTTTTTTCCGGTGAGTTGCTCCATGAACTCTCTGCTCCTTCGCGTTTCCGGGGTGAGCCACATTGTGCTAGTCACTCATCAGCTAATCCGAAAGTGCTCAGAAGCTATCACTCATGAAGTCAAATGTTTCGGTGAAGCAAGCAGTGCCGCGCGTTTTTATCTTAGCTGTGTTCACGTGTCGCTAAAATCGGCGATTCGCAATCATTCAACGTAATTCTTGAAGAAGTGTGAAACTCGTGGTGGGAAAATCAAGATGTACTGGACTAAGGATCTGAAGCTCTTTTTTTTCTACAGCTTCATGAACGCGATTTTTCGAATACTTGCATTCCTTGTTGGCTTTGGATATATATTTTCCTCGCTTACGGAGCTTTGAAACGTGCGTATGTGTGGAACCTCAAAAAAAATGAAACCCTCTATTTGTATTTCGCAGTTGCGATGCTGTTTGTTGACTCTCTAAATTGAAGTTTCTGGTCTGAAATTGAGATTCCCCGAACAAAGCGAACAGAAGAAAAAATGATCGGAAGGGCGTGCGTGTTTTCAAATGCCGTGAACGTATTTATTGCGGATATTCCATTGCAGCCTTCACATATTTCCTCATCGATGATAGTTGATGTGACTTGTGGATTGACGATGAAGAGCCAATTTAATGATTTTTTTTTTGCGAAGAAATGAGTCAAGATTACGTTGCTTCTTGCTTTTTGTCGCATGTCTTTGAGTGCTGATGGAGTTGGAAAAGGAATCGTTAACACCACCGCTCCAAGGAGGAAGTAAAATGTCAGAAGGGATGATTATAAATGCGCGTGAAATGAAGTTCCTTTTTGTGTATGAGATTCCTTTGAAGTCGACGCGACTCTTCGTAACATGACATGTGGGTCTTCTGGTTTGCGTTTCAGGTCATTTTTTCGTGTTCAGTATGGGAAAGTGTTTCTCTTGCTATGTTCTTTCCGTTGAATGTGAGAATTCCTGTTCCCATGCACATTATCGTCATCATGCCGCTAAAGCAAGCGTATTTCCACCGAACTGAGGCATGACATGATTACCTACATCGATAATGGTAAGAGCATGCTGTCTTTCGTTCGATTTTAGAATTACGAATGATTCTACCTCTTTTTCAGTGATTTTTTCGGTCAAATCACGAAGACAACGAATTGGACCGAGCTGTGTTATGAAAGCTGGAAAGGTGAATTTTTTCGGCAGAAAACTTGTTCGCGTCAAGAAATCTGCTAGAAAAAGATAGTCTGCCTTGAACCAGAAAACATTTAAATGTGTTCAATACATGTACACAGAGGCAACCAGAAAACAGGTGATCTAATTTTGAACTAACGTTCCCCAGTAAGAAAAATAATCTCACTTCGAAACGTATCGGATCCCTTTTCAAACAAAATTTAATTCTGTGAAGTGGAGTGAACTAATTCGACAAACAAAACCGCCGTCAAGGATTTCGTTATCAGAAATATTTGTTATGGCTCTATTTGGGTTGAAACGTTTCGTCTTCAAGTTTTACAGGCGAAGTGAATCTTATAATTCTTGCAACTAGGCCTCCACGCCAGGTTTAAATTGATTACATACGATAAATTTATTTCGTGGACTTCTGTATAATTTTCATTACTGTATTATGATGAAAATCACTGGAATTATTTTGGTCTGTAAATTAAAAAAAAGGAAATTCAACGGCGTTAACCAGACCGTTTTGAACTGATACAGCAAAAGCTTGACATTTTTCCTGGAAAGTCATTAATAACTGTACGTTCATGCGAATACGAGAGCACCTGTTTCCACAAAAAAATTAAACAAAAATGAGGTTTATGTGCCGTAGGTGAGGATGCAATTGAAGAAAAAACTTGAGTCAAAAAGAACAAAGGTTAGAAAAAACTTTGTGCAATTTAAACGAATTTTGAAGCAGGAATACTTAAAAACTGCTGATGGGAAAATTTTGATTCAGCGTGCATTATTCCTTCATCTAGAAGCTGAACAAATTATTTTGATCGTGAAATTATCAAATTTTATCAATCCTTAGTTTTTATTTAATCGGAATATTTCATGAAATCCAGCAGGCACATCAGTGGAATAAATAATTTGGGACAATTTTTGCTTAGTTATGAGTGATTTTAACCTGGATTTTCATGCACCTGAAATTGAAAATTTGAAGAGCAAAATTATTCTGTTCAATTGTTCAAGAGTGTTGAGTTCCTTGGTTTAACTGTATTACTCGTATTCTTTTTTCCTTAAATTTTCCGTTGCTGGTTGAAGGCAAGCTGGATTTTGGACAGCACCTCTCATCTTTGCCAGAAAAATTTTTATCTATTAGGTACAGTACTTCTGGCTTCACGCAGGGTTGATGAACTCCGCGGCATAATATAATGTAGGATCTTCCAACATTCCGGGACTTACAGAAATTTTCCTCAGGTTGTTGCCTCCACGAGGTCTTGACCTGCATAGTGATGTATCTTTTGGGCTTATTAATATTTTGTATTTTCCCATGTTTTCTTCTCTCCAGAAGAGTGAGGTGAGTCTTGTGACCCACATTCGAAACCCTCTGGCTCATGAGTTCCTAGCTCTGGGCGAGCATCAATTCTGGCTTCACCTGCTTGAGGTGGATAAGTAAAGTCACTTTTTGACGACTAATTGGAATCTTTCTTTTTTTAAATAATGCCACGAATTTTGGGAAGTACTGTATGATGATAAATGCTGTCCTCCGTTAATTTGTTTTTTCTTCCTTGTGTGAAACTTTGGGAAGCGAGAATCATGTTTTATACTACTGAGCTAATAAAACGCCTTTTTTCCGAATCTCTTGAGAGTATAGTTCTTTGACGCGGGGAAAACTGAAAGCATCTAGAGAAAGATTAAAAATTTGGGAAAACCAATTCTCTGCTTTTCCTTGAATACAGTACTAACTTGACCGAGCTCATTTATCAATGTATGCAGCATATCAGGGCTTTGATTAGGAAGTCACCGTGGGTCGCAATCACGGTTTTAAATCAATCCGAAGTACAACTACTGTATCTGGAATTAGGAGCTCCGTCCTTGTGAGAGTGACATTCTAAGGCAGTACAGGGTGATGTGTAAGGTATCAGATATTCTATGAAACTGCCGTAGTGATTGCGTGAAAATCTGAGCTTAACATGAGATTGAATAACAAGATAAATTACTTCATAGTTTGAGTTGTCAGCATAGAACTATCTGTGGACTTGGTCAAGGCCTACATTGTTATACAGTGAGACCCCCACATGCGGATGCCTCGACCTGTGGACAATTTGACATAGGGACACTTATTTTCCCAGAAAAAATCAATAAATGAGGCCCAACATGAGGACACTGACTCGATATAGGAACATTTTGTGATAAAATTTCAATTACATTTTAGGCCAAATTACAAGAAACAGATATTTCCAACCCTAAAATTGATGTAAGATAAGTTCTTGGGCATTCTCTCACCAAATTATCATCCATTTAGCTAATTGAAAAAATTACCTCCAGCATGGAGGGACTTGTACTTTTTTCACTTGAATGTTATTTTTGCAGATGCCAAAATTTCAGTGTACCGTACAGAGATACACTATTCAATGCTTCAAATCTTCTTATTGGGTTGAAAATGTATTCACTAATTCAAATTCAAGTGACCAAAAATTTTTTTCAGGGAATTCTGAAGAATATTTCTTCCACAAAAACACCAATTAAACATTATATAATGTAAGTTTATGGGAAAACTATATATAACGTAGGTTCTTGTTGTTGGGTTCTTATGCGGAATTTCAAGTCAAAATCCAGTATAAAATGAATGGATTATGGGAAATGGTGTGAATTATGTTACAAACTGAACACCTGGTACAACAGCAGCTGGGTTATCAAGTTAAATGTGTTCACATCATGCAAGGTATTTCTCAAGGCACTGTTGTACTCCGCATGTACAATTCAACATTTTCCTATTTTGGAATGCATGGGTGAGGCTTTACTTATTGGCATCACTTAGTATTGTGCATATTCTAGTTCGAAAGAGTGTTTCCGGTCCCATCCGGTTTGAAACGACTCGCTGTTGGCTGAAACAAGTCATGGCAAAATAGAATGCCACTATAGTCCCACTACTCCTGCGAGATTATTCCTGGTTCCTCTTACTATTTTCAATACCTGAAATGTATAGTAATTACCATTTACTGTGTTCTGTTGTGGCAGTCGACCTTGGATTTTTTTTGTGAAGTGCAATATAGTGTATTCTATTTTTTCAGGCCATGTATTATTACCCATCAAGGCACAGAAGGCGGATGTTACATAACTGTGTTCATCGACGAGTGCGTTGTATGTGCAAAAAAGGGTATAATTGCAAAATATTCTCATGTTTTTCTCTTTTTATTAAATCGCCGAATCAATCAAAGCCGGTGTCGAACACAATTATAAAACCCCTTAGTCTTGTTGGATAGAAAAAGATAGTCATGAAATACTATGCTTATGCGTGGGTTGGTTCATAAGTCTTGATAAGCGGTCGATTGCCACAATGGGAGGTGGACAAAACAATTTTGCTCTTCAATCATTTTATCAGTGTCGAATAAATTTTTGACCCAACCAGCAACAGATGGAAACAAGAAAAAGATCTCGCCGTGAAAGCTCTTCACTGAAGAGAACTTTGATCAAGAGCGTCATCTGAGTACTACAGTAGTTGCATTCTCTACAAATGTGCGGTTGGTCTGAGTGCAATAATGAAGTGCTTCTTGAGAATGAAAAAAAAACGTGTCAGTGATGAAGCTTTGCTCGATGTTGGGCAATTATGCTTGCTGTGATTTTGACTGATCCACGCAGTGAATAACAGCCAGAAAGGCCTGAAAGGGATTAATTTTGAGTAGAGAGGAAAAGCCTCATTTCTGCTGTTGAAAATCAGCTCAATCAAGTATAGCGGAACCAATTTCAACACTGTTTTGGTTGTTCGATTAACTGCAAGAAAACTGCTTTGAAATGGACTGAGAGTATGTTGAACAGTACGGAAGTGTTGCTGAATGATGGGGCTTTGTGATTAAAATAAATTTTGGAAGTTTTGAAACACTGTTGGATGCATTGCAAAAATTATGAAGTCTTATGAACCAACCCTTATATATGTTCATGCTGGCAGTGAGAGGAAGATAGATCTTCCCTATATGTTCCCTGTACATATGCACCTGCATGCATTTCCGCACTGATATCCCTATAAAACCTTGAGGATTAGGCCGGCTTATGCACAATTAGTGCAGGAAACTGGGGCTCTACATCAGTTCACTCATATATATATGCATATATATATATATATGGATGTCATAAGACCCTCTCAAATCCGAGTGAACTAGAAGGAATGCTCTGCTGTAAAGTTATTAATGCAAGGGTTTTCATGTATACAGTATTCGTATGAATACATTTTCTAGCGGCTTATTATTCGTGCAAATTCTTTGTCACATCAATGCTGTCATCGCGCTCAAAGCGTGATTAAAGTATTATTATTAGTAGTAGTATTATTTACGTCTATGCTGTAAGCATGATTTTTAATTGTATTCTTCAATAGATGGTATATCAGCTTGAGCATGTAAGATTCACTTCTGCATGGAGACAAAACATGCCTACAAACAAATTTTGTCTAAATTATTTAAAATACTGTACAGTGTTGATGGAATAGCACTTGGATGTTTATGATTGCAATCCCTGTATATGATGGTAAGGAGAAAATATCATGTTATTTAACCTTAATTTTACTGTTTAGGATTCTGCAGAATTTCGGAATAACGCACTTGAAAGTTAATCTGTACATCAATCTTTGAAAATAACCTCCAAAACTGTGGATTTCAATACAATATCTTCAATTACGAAAGTAAAAAAAGAGAGAAGAGAGAGAGAGAAAGAAGGAGAAAAAAGAGCAGAAAAACAAGTGAAATCAGTGAAAAAATCTGCAATCAAACGGACTATACGACATCAAAGGTGAGCAAAAAAGTGAGAAAAAATCCTCCAAGGATTGTGTTCTAAAAAAGGGGAACTCTTTTCCCATCTATTTTAAGAAAAACTAGACCCAAAAAAAATGCCAGCAGGAAGAGGTCGCCCAAGAGGTTCTGTCTTAGCAAATAGAATAATATCCAGAAGTAGAAGCTTATCGAGAGAATCAGCAAGAGGAACACCTTTAAATACTAGACGCAGATCTTTGAGACCTCAGGCTATTTCTTCATCAAGACTATCTCAAACCTTAAATCCACTTGGAAAATTGACTCCAAAACTGTACTTAATTATTTGAACTATTCAAAAGGGAGATGAGGCTATAAAAGAGAAGAATGAAGAAAAGAAAAATAAACTGTTTGGAGAAATCCTGGATGAACTTCTTCTGCATATTGAATTCCTTGATTCTTTCAAATTTGATTTCCTATCGGAAGAAAATATTAACAAAATAAAGGTACTGCAGAATGAAATAAGTCATTTGGCAACACAAACTCTTGAGGGCTTAAAACTCAACTGGAATTTATTAAGACCAAAAGAAAGAAAAATCCTATCAATCTCTTTTCCTCCAATCCCAAGTGATTCTTCTGAATCACAAACTTCTCCTACTGGAAACTCCTCTTTAATCAGTCCCTCCGATGGACAAATATGCAATCCTACTAATCAAACAGTCAAAATCATAAATAATCGCTCTATGGAAATTGAACACGAGCTAAATTCTGCTCCTCCATCTTCTTGTGGAACTAACCCAACGCACTCTTCCTTTTCCATACAACTTGAAAGTTCTTATATAGATAGTGAAATACAAAGATACGGAAAAGGCAAATCCCTATGTTCTGATTCTGACGCATACATCCAAAACTATACCAATAAAGTTATGAAAAACTTCAGAAAATTTAAAATAAAATCAACACTCGATAATGACTTCGATAGAGTGTGGAACATTTTCCGACCTATCCATGAGGCTCCAGTAAATGAATTTTCTCCACCTCAAAGACGTAATCTATTGCTTATGCATTTTGACGAAGAAATTTTGAACGAAATTAATGGCCTACATCAAAAGGACCGGGAAAAGGATTATTTGACTCTAGTTCGAATGTTATTCTCAAAGTTTGGAGACGTAAATCAAATTACCCAAAAGATTTTTGATTCAATTGAAGAACTTACTCCTGCAGATGAATCAAAACAATCAGTTGCAGATTGTATGAGCAAAATTGTTAACTATGTTGCGAAACTGACTGTCCTAAATCAGGACATTTTCTATATCCATAAAAGAATTTGGCCATGCGTCTTTAAAAACTTGAACATGGGAAATATGTATGACATCCTTAAAGGACAAGTAACTGAAGAAGTAAAACTCAAGTGGGTAAAGGACCCAGAAGAAATCTATCGTTGGTATTGGGAAAAACTCGACACAGGAGTCCTTCGGACAAAAGAACCCAAAACTTCAATTTACAAAACAACTGTATCTGATGCTGCTCCTCTAGAAACAAAGAAATCGGATGAAAAAACCAAACCAGCTAAAGATAATTTCCTATACGCGTCTGAAACTCAGAAGTTCAAGCAACAACACAGACCGGACTTTAAAGTTCAAAGACCTAAGTACTCAAATAATCCTCCTTGGAATCAAAATAACAATCAGAATCGATCTGACAATAGAAATAATCCAAAATCCCACTTCGACAATAACATTAAACTGGCCAAATGTACCTTCTGTGATCTTTCACATTCTGTCTACCTATGCCCTAAGTCCTTACAGGAAAAAAGAAATCTCATTCAAGAAAGAAAACTCTGCTGGAATTGTCTTAAACCCGGTCACAGAAACTTTTTGTGTAAAAGCAGATACCGCTGCTATCATTGCAGCAAAGATCATCATTCTTCTATTTGCCCAATTAAGAGAGAAACTCAGCAATCTAAGAATAATTCAACAGTTAATTCTACTAATACCAGTGGTGATATTCCCTCTCAAGTCAGCTCTGAATTAAAAGAAATTCTAACTTGTTTAGAAAGCAAGTTCAATGATCACTATATTCCTTTAACTGGAACTGTTGAGGCAGAGAAGAAATCCTGACTAGGCTTGGAACATGTTCATGTTAATCTAACTCAAGGATCATACCCTAATTCCTTTGTAGAAACTGCTGCATTAATTGAATCAGAAAGTAATCAACCCATTTTTGCTCTCCTAGACTCAGGAGCTCAGATAAACCTTATAACTGAAGACGTAGTGGCAAGGCTGAACCTAAAGGAAGATCGGCATTCCACTGGATTCAGAATTTCTGGAGTAAATAAAAACGATCGTGATTTCATATCAAGAGTTTACGTAACTGTCCCATTACATAGCACTACTGATCTCAATTTTTCTATGACTATTAAAGCACTTATAGTTCCCATGGATAGACCTTGGGAAGTATCTAATCCACAAACACTGGCCTGGATGCAGGAATACAAAACTCTGTTAGCCGATAGAAGAACTATTGATTCTACTGATGTTCCATTGACTTAATTATTGGAGGCAAAGATTTAGTTCCTATTTTTTCGGGAGGACTACAACCCTTTGTATCAAATAAACAATTCCAGCTCCTCAAATCAAATCTTGGTCTCATTCCTTGAGGAAATTGGGAACCTGAAGTCAAACTACCAATAACCATAAACAAATCAATTGTATTTACTGTAAGAGCAAGAATAGATAATTCACTGGATCTTGAATTAAATGAAGAAATTACTCGATATCTTCATCTTGATAGAGTGGAGATTTTTGGAAACGAAGAAGAGGAAGAAGCAGCTAATGAAGTCGAACTGGAGAAATACTTAAGCCTAATCAAAAGAGCACCGGATGGAAGAGTAATAGCTCCTCTCTTAAAGAACAGAACATTCTATGATAATGTTTCACCAAATCTAATAACTGGAGAACAGCGAAGCAAATCTGTCATTAGACTGCTGGAAAGGGGTGGAGTCCTAGCGGACGCATACACGGAATTCATTGAAGAATGGGAGAAAGATGGCGTAAGTACACCTACTTCTCTAGAAGAATTATATGCCAGAGGAACTCCTTTTACGGAACTCCCACATCATGGAGTTGAGAGACCCCAAAGTGCAAGTACTCCTTTAAGAGTAGTAATCGCAGGAAATGCAGCGGATAATGGAAAATTCTCCACTAAAGATATTTTTGATCAAGGCCCAAACATTCTTCCAAAACTGATTAATATACTAGACCCCAAAGTGCAAGTACTCCTTTAAGAGTAGTGATCGCAGGAAATGCAGCTGATAACGGAAAATTCTCCACTAAAGACATTTTTGATCAAGGTCCAAACATTCTTCCAAAACTGATTAATATACTTCTGAGATTAAGATTAGCTGAATCCTTTGCTGTTTCTGATATATCCAAAGCCTTCGTACAAGTGCAGTTGACATCAGAAGATCAATGGCTTCTTATTTTTACATTCTTCCAAAACTGATTAATATACTTCTGAGACTAAGACTAGCTGAATCCTTTGCTGTTTCTGATATATCCAAAGCCTTCGTACAAGTGCAGTTGACATCAGAAGATCAATGGCTTCTTATTTTTAGATGGCCTGTTAAACAAGCAGACGGGTCTTACAGACCACAATTCTTTAGATTTCTTAGAATGCCTTGGGGTATCAATTGCGCCCCTTTTATGCTTAACGCAGCAGTAAGATTTCTATACAGACAAGCCTTAAAAGAAGGCGCTATCTCAGCAGAAATGTGTACTGAATTAGAAGAAAATACTTACGTTGATGACATTTTAATTACTGGAACTAATTTAGAAGAAGTGGAGAATAAATTAGAGAAAGCAAAAACTCTCTTAAAAGAAGGAGGTTTTAATCTTACTAAAATTAGAACCTTTCCATCTAAAAACCCATCACAGGATCAATTTAAAATTTTGGGAATTCTGTACAACTCTTCAGACGACTCTCTATGTGCCTGTGCTGATCGTATATATCTACTGGCTGAAGCAGGTATAATATCAAAACGTATGGCAGCGGGTATTATTGCCAGATTGTATGATCCTCTTGGATTTATGACTCCATTTAATACCAAAGTAAAACTAACTTTTCAAGATTTCAATAGATTAAATCCGAAAGCACCATGGGATGTTGAACTTTCAGAACAAGACATTTTAAAATGGAAATCTTTGGCTATGGAAACAGCAGAGGTAGCAAAATTTAGAATTTCCAGAGGTATAAGATTGCCCAATGAAACTGAATCAGAAATCCATGTCTTTTCAGACGCTAGTGGATCAGCATTGGGAGTAGCTGTATACTATTTGTCACGTAACAAAGAAGGATATAAAGTGTCACTTATACTGGGAAAATCAAAACTAATACCTATCAAGGCTGGAAAGGATAAAACTGGGAAGAAGAAGGAAATTCAGCTAGACCCAAAAATAAAAATAAACCGTCTGGAACTGAGCGCAGCATGTCTGGGAGTAACTCTTTTACAAGAAATTCTTAAATCATTTAAACATCTCTCTCCTAAAATCTTTTTCTGGACAGATTCTGAAGTCGTATTGNGTTGAAAAAATCTTTAAATATTCATCAAAAAATCAATGGAGACATGTCCCAGGAAAGGATAATCCTTCTGACTTAGCTTCAAGAGGTTGTGATGCGCAAACTCTAATAAAATCATCTCTCTGGTGGAACGGACCTACTTGGTTGCCCTTCAGCTCTGATTGGCCCCTACAAACAATATCTGCTGCAGTTTGCAGAGTCAATCCGACTCCAACGTCCTCTTGGGACAACTCAAAAGAAAGTGTCGCAAAATTATTGGCCGGAACTTCCTCTTGGGAAACTATCATAAATCGTTTTCTTGGGTGGAAAAAGATCACTACCTACTTCAAGGAGAGAGTTCGAAGACGAACACGAGGGGCAAAACGAGCACTTAACGGAGACCTAATTATAACAAAACTCATACATGAAAGATCCACAGTAGAAATGAAGAAAAATGCTCAAATAGAAATCTTTCAAACTTTTCAAAAACTATATGCCTATGATGACTGGGAAATGCTTAAATCCAAAAAATCTATCCCGGAGAAACCAGATTTACAATGGAACACGGAATTTAATCTAATCGAATCAGTAAGCAGGCAAGGAGAACATACGAACTCAAAAATAGATTCAAGGAATTTGGTTAGAAAAAGTTTAATATATATCCCAATTCCTAAAGGAAGCGTCAATACAGACGGATTGCAGGCATTCTTTAGAGAATATCACGAAAAATTAGGACACGCATCCTCCTCCATAATGATGAGTTACATACATAAGACTTTCTGGGTGCCTAGAGGCAGAAAAATAGGAAGAGAAGTCAGGAAAAACTGCAATTGGTGCAAACGATTTGATGCTCAACCATACTCTGTCCCTCCTGCTCCTCTGCCAGAATACAGATACTATGGTTCTATACCCTTTAAAGCAGTTGGAATTGATTTTGTTGGACCATTTATTTCTATAGAAACTACAAAAATGGTTGAAAAGAAAAGAATAGTAATCAATCCTTCTCAAAAGGTATCAATATGTGTTTTTTTTCTATACCCTTTAAAGCAGTTGGAATTGATTTTGTTGGACCATTTATTTCTATAGAAACTACAAAAATGGTTGAAAAGAAAAGAATAGTAATCAATCCGTCTCAAAAGGTATCAATATGTGTTTTTTCCTGTCCTCTTATTAGAGCAGTACATCTGGAACCAGTTCAAGATTTAACTATAAAATCCTTTGTTGGAGCTTATGAAACCTTTTGTGGTATTCGAAATGTAGACCCTGAAGTTCAATATGTGTTTTTTCCTGTCCTCTTATTAGAGCAGTACATCTGGAACCAGTTCAAGATTTAACTATAAAATCCTTTGTTGGAGCTTATGAGACCTTTTGTGGTATTCGAAATGTAGACCCTGAAGTGTTAGTATCTGATAATGCTGCTACGTTTAAAGCTGCTTGGCCCATGTTGTTGAAAGCACAAGAACTGAAATTAAGAGTAAAATTGAAAAATGTGGAATGGCATTTCAATGCGAGTAGAGCCCCTTGGTGGGGAGGATTTTATGAACGACATATGAGTATGATTAAAGACAGATTGGCAAGAACCTTCAGAGGTTTATCATTTGACAATTGGAATTCTTTAAGAGCTTTGGTATCTCAAATAGAAAACATGATCAACAACAGACCTCTTACTTATTTGTATTCTGACAGAGAAGCCCCTATGCCAATTACCCCATCAATGTTCATCAACCCTCACCAGGGTGATTGGGAATTAAATCCCTTTCTTTATGGACCAGACCCGCTTAAATTCTTGGAAATCACTGACAGTAATAGACTTTCTGCTGAACCTTCAGAGGTTTATCATTTGACAATTGGAATTCTTTAAGAGCTTTGGTATCTCAAATAGAAAACATGATTAACAACAGACCTCTTACTTATTTGTATTCTGACAGAGAAGCCCCTATGCCAATAACTCCATCAATGTTCATTAACCCTCACCAGGGTGATTGGGAATTAAATCCCTTTCTTTATGGACCAGACCCGCTTAAATTCTTGGAAATCACTGACAGTAATAGACTTTCTGCTAATGCAATAAAAAGATTAGAAATTGCCGAAAAAACGTGGAACAGTTTTTATGAAGGATACATTTCTAAATTGAGAAAATTTTCAACTAAAACAGGGAAAGGAAAAATCCTCGAACCCAAAGAAGGCCAAATTGTTCTATTAAGACCAAGTATCCTGTCAAGTAACTCCCCTCTGCACAAGTTAAAGTGGAAATTGGCCAAAATTATAAATACCTATAAAAGTCCAAGAGACGGATTAATCAGAGTGGTGGATATTTTGACAACTCATCGGCAGGGGGGGATGGAAACCCCTTACCAACTATCCTTAAAAATCAATCCATCAAAAATCTAATTCCTCTAGAGACTGAAGTGCAACAAATTGATGATGAATTTTTGAGAAAACTTGCTCTAGAACGAATAAAAACAGTTGGAGTGTTTTTTATAAGAGTAATTTGAAATCTCATAACAAGAACATAAAAAAAAAATTGTCCCTTCTTATCCCATCTTTTATATCTTCAGGAAAAATCCTAGGAAGTGTGTTGGGTTATGTAGGGTCCTAAAGGACAAAGTACTTTTATAAAAAAACAAAAAGAAGCCGAAGTACAAAAAACTTTCAAACAATTTATCAACGATCGACATGGTATTCAATAACAAAGTAGTAACAAAGTACAATCAAAAAACTCAGTACAAAACGATACAAAATGAGGTACTCCATCAGTCAAAATAAAAAAGAGATTCGAATTTCAGCGACAACATTTCAACCCGCAAGCTCCAAATCAGATTCTGAAGCAAATACTGGTTCTCCTGACCCAATTAACCAAAAACCCATCGGAGTACGAGTCACAACGATCTTCAAAACCCGAGTCTTCTTAACACGAACCAACGATCCAACCACAATACGTCCCAAGTGAAGATCCTTTATTTTGTACGAAGTTGTAGCAGTCGAATTGTCCAACTTGTAGCTTCCCCGGATATACTCAAGTGAAAAACACTCATCGTAGATGTTGGAGGCATAGACCATCGATAAACTGCAAATATACAAAAAAAGGGAATTGTGTTAAAATTCTTTCCTTCAGTCGCAAGATCTGACACTCAGCTCACCTTTCAAAAGGATCAGAAGTACTTAGAATCCCTCGAACACGAGTTACATTACCCAAAGGGAATCCCTCACAATCCGTGACCAACTTGCTCAATCCAAAATGATGATGTTTTAATCGAGGAGAAATTCCTGCTGTAGCAGTTCCATCATCCTTCCAGATAGGACAAGTTCCGGAACAGGATCTAACATTCTTCCAAACATCTGAATTGTACTCGCAAAATAATCCAAATTGAATGACAATGGCATGATCTTTAGCAAATGCCAAATACGCTCGTAGCATCAGATGTCCAAAAGCTCCGTCTAATCCTGGAG